CTCTCTGATTGGTCTGATTGATAGTGGTCAGCGCCAGGATTGAAATAACTTTCGCGCTAACGAAAACATGAAAATAAACAAGCAGCATCACATATCTAATTTTAGCTATGCCTTTTGGCAATCTGATGATCCCATTCTTGAAAAATGTACAAACTATGTTATAACCATGTTTTGGGTAAAAAAGTGAAATTATTCATTTGTTTTTTTATAGTCCGGGATGCATATTATAATATGCCTACATCCGTCTTTGTCAAACAAATGGACAATGGCCTACCATGATAAGATCAAATGCTCAATTGATAATTATGGAATTAACATAAATCCGATCATGTGTCTACTATGTAGTGATGCTTGTTTATTTTAATGTTTGAGTTATTTAAAAAAAATAAGAGATTATGCATCACTTGCGTCAGTACTAATATTTATCAGTTTGTGGGAGTCTGAATCAATTACAAAATTGTCTGCCCCATGTACCCCACACAGAAACGTTTTGAGAGTAGCTGTAGTATGGATTTGGAAAGTTTACTATTATTACGAATGCTTTGAAAGGGGCAATTTGCAATAATTAGTCTCACAACAAATTTACTTACTATTACAAATGTGGTCTACACAATGGGTGTTCTATGGTTTAATCCGACGGATAGACAGCTTCCAAGTACTAGTATGTCAGGGTAGAAATGTTCAACCCGGAGAAGTAATCAAAAATATACTGTTTAGTTAATTGATTAAAGACAACATATTACAAGGTATGAATATGTGCTTATGTTTTACAACAATACAATACAAGAACACTTTATTATCACTGTAAAGAAATTACAATCGTTTTGGGCTCTGAGTAATAAAGTTAAATTAATGAAAATGAACACAAATTAATTATAATAAAAGTATTAAAAAAACAAAGAAAGTTACTAAATGGTTCTTTTCAAGTTTGCATTATCAATGTATTGGATTAGTGTTTTCAGTAAATGTTTATCTGATACATTGATGATTGTCTTGAATTTTTCTGTTTTGTCCATCTCATGTAAATTGGTAAATATTCTGTTAAAGTCATCGTAAAGAGTTTTTCTTTCAGAAGAATAAGCTTTACAAGACGTAATGAAGTGGATTTCATCCTCTAATACATTGCATGTTTTGCATAGTCTCTTGCTGAGTGGTGTTTTGGACGAGTATGTCTTCCTACTTCAATCTGTAATTTGAGGCAACTAAGCCGTAATCTTGCTAGTGTTTCAACCTCATGGAGTTTATTTAATTTTTACTTAAAGGGCGGCAGTCGTCGTGCCGCTTCCTGATCGATATGGGACTCATATCGACGTATACAACACGTGTAAAATACATTGTTTATTTGCATGGAATTTGAACACGCGCTGCGCGACGACCACAGCGCTTTAAATATGGTGCTTCTATAATTTCATTGTTTATTTGTCTGTATGTCCGCAGTTTTGAGTTCTCTCTGCTATTGTGTTGATTCCATAGTTTATTGTAGTAGTCTTTAGATATCTGGTATAAACTGTCTTTATTAATGTTATCGATGTCAATGTTGTATGTTGTTTTGCAACCAAGAGTTATGATAACACTGTTGTTTCAGTGTGCTGGTAATATTTTATGGCTCTTTGTTGTACCAAGGATAAGGGTGTCAGTCCTAATTCCATTCGACATCCGATGTTACTGCTTTTGTTGTTTAGGGATAATATCTGGCCACAGAGTCTTAGGTGACATTTTTCAGTGTCTGTGTTGTCCCATTATTGTATGTTTATATGTATTTCCCACATTTCTGAGCCATATAATAGTATTACGTTGTTGTATAATATCAAATAGTTTGGTCTTCAATCTGATGCTGTTCTTGTTTTTTGGGTAGATTATTGATAGGTTACGTTCTGCTTTTTGTGTGTGCTTTATCTGCCAGTATTTGTGTTGTTTTTGTCAAGGTGCCATTGGAGTTGACGGTGATGCCCAGATATGTAAACTGATTTGTTTTCTGTAGTATTGTTTTGTTGTATGTGAAAGAAGTGTTTGTTTTTTTGTGAACGTCAACATGAAATTTAATAAAAGCACATGATTATGTTAGATGCAATATGATTAATATTTTTTGAGAATATGATAATATAAAATTTCAGTGTGTTTAGATTATGAGGTAAAATATATAAGAATAACAAAAGCAACCCATCGTCAATTGTGTTATGTTTTCATTGCGATTTGGTATCAGCGTCACTGTTTATATTGTTGGTAATTTGAATGTACAACAAAATGTATTGTTAGGGAGCGCCGATTTACCTCATTCAAGAAAGTCGTAATATGGTGCATTGTGGGAATATGTGCGCCATGCTGGCAATGGAAAAGTGGTAAATTGTTATTAACGTGGACGGCCATTTTGCTGGTTTTGTCGAAGAAGTATCGGAATGTCTGTGTTGAAGCAACCGACAGACAACGACGCTTTGGCGCTGTTAGCGCTTAAATCTGCCCCTTCCAGCCCAAGTAGGATACCATGGGCAGATGTTACAGACCGAGGTTTGGCCATAGCGCGACTGGAAGGCCGTGAATTTGAGTATTTAATGCGGCAAAACCGCATCTCGATTGGTCGCAACAGCAGTCAGGGCGAAGTCGATGTAAACATGGGCCACTCAAGTTTTATCTCACGAAAACATCTAGAAATATCCTTCGAAAGTCCCAACTTCTTTCTGCACTGCTCGGGTAAGAATGGTATCTTTGTTGACGGGATTTTCCAACGAAGAGGAGCCAACCCACTCCAGCTTCCACGAGCGTAAGTATTGATGATATTGTATTGCAAAAACCGATGGATCATAATTCCTTGCCTTGCCGTGATGGTTGCCTCGTGGCCAGGAAAGCCTCCTAATTTGTTGGATGTTATGACGAGAATTTGTTGTTTCATCAGGGCGTTATCTATTTTGACTATGTATATGATATAATATGTTATACCGTTTGTTTATAATGTAACAGGATTTGTTGTTTTGATACCAATTTATGCAAAACAATGAAATGTTGCAGTGCTCTGACGTGCTTTGGTTACATTATATTCAACAATACATACGCAAATGTATGATTCGGCAATGTAAACAAACATAAATTTGGTCATTTCAAATAAAAATTTTACTCACATAATGATATTTTATATGTTTTGGTTAATAATTTACAAAAACACAGACGGACATGTCTTATATGATGCTGTCATCGTGACGTTGTTTCGAGTTAATTTTGTGAACAAATCTGACACCGTTTTTACTCGGCCCATGCGCCCTGGTATCACCATCGTGACTCGGCCTTCAGAAATTCTGTACACGTTGAGCGAACATTAAATATTGTCATTGTTTTTTTGTGTGTAATATAGTATTTTTGACTGCATAGTAAAAATAAACACGTTTGCCACGTGGAAGCCATTGGCCAGTAAGACTGAAGATGTGTATCTTGCCGATCCAAAACAATAGCTTTATACTGCCTTCTCCTTGTAAGGGTACAAAGTACGACTTGGCATTCACAAACAAGTCGCTTACTGGAATTAGAATTAATTTAGTGTTTGGTAGTTTTCGTGTTGTAATAAATAAATAAATATGCAACTGTCAAAATATGTCATAATTTCCCCCTGTTCTGTTCACAGGATGTTAGCCACTGTGACCCCATATGTAAATAAACAACAGACTCATGATGTTGTCAGCTGTTTATATGTAAACAAAGCAAACACAAGTGTGTGCTTAACAACTGTTTGTAATTCAGTTCATCGCCAGACAACTCTTTCGTTTCAAAACATCGACTATACAATATGTTTTTCTATTTAGTAGTTTATTATTCCCAGTAATGAAGGGATACTGTGTGTAATGTGGAAATGTGTGTACTCTTTAATAATATTTGTATTCCTGTTTTCTATTTATGCTATATATAAAGGCGTGTTATTTGCATTTCTGACTGAAATTGTTTTGAACTTTAGGGACCTGTTTTTTTGGGGGGGATCATGGCATCTAACTATGACCTCTGTTACTTCAGGGCTTTGTCTTCTCCGGGGTTCTCTGGCAAGTGACACTGTTATGAAACCATAACATGTGTTTTATGGCAAACAAAAGTTTTGGCTATCATTTTTGACCCTGGATTTTTGGCCAAAGGTTTTGCAGAAGGCCATGTGCATGTTTTATCATATACTGATTGAATCTGTACAGCAAATATTAGTACATTGCATTAAATTTTATTTACTAATAACTTGTTATATGTTTATCTCTCCTAACTCCTGCATTAAAAGTATGTATTTTTATTTTGCTAAGAAACTTGTGTATTACAAGCAGGTTTTTTTATTTATTTTTTCCGGTACTAATTCACAGTAATTCACTCCAAAAATGGGAAACTACATGTAATTGGTGCCAATTTCTTGGACACTTAGATTCATAAGTAAATAAATATAGTAAAATATGCTGGGGTTGTAATGCACAAGGTATGAGTAAAAAAAATACCTGTCATGCACAAGTTAATAGTACAAGAAAATAAATATTCTGAATTAATATCGGTATGTTATACAAAACTTGTGCATGGCCAGAAAGGTTGCCAAAAAGTCTGAGGTAGGGAATGGTATTGTGTCATGTTGAAAAGGCATTGGTCTCCTGTTGATTTTTGAGACTTGAAAGTTGTATGAATACTGTGCATGCCATGTTATCATTTCTTGAACTTTGTACATCACACACTGATGCAGAGAATAAATTAACTCCCAAGTCAATGGAAAAGTACATTGGCCTGGCAGGACAAATTATTATGAATTTTGTTGAATGTGACTACTACAAATTTAACATGAAAACATCATGAGATCGATTCAATAATACAAGTAAGCCAAAAAAATTCATTACTTAATAAGATGTCGTAGGTTATGATGATACCTTTATAATTATTATATCACCAGCCCTCTTGTTTCTATTCTGATTGTAGTGAAGTATATTTGAACTAATTTCTATAACTAATAATTTCGCACTTTTGCCACCTTCCACAAAATTCTCCAATGTAATTTCCATTTTTAAATCAAATTTGTATTGCGATATTGAATTGAACAAAATCGTAGAGAATAATGATAATGTGTTTTGTTTTGTGTTAAAAAACTCAAGAACCTTTTATTCTCTTTGAGTGGTAGAAAATGACAACAATGTTGGTTAGAAATGTCTAAAATTATGATTGTTGATCACTTGTTTACCCAGTGTATGCTTGAAATATAAACTACCTCCTTGGCAGTTCTTAGTATGTGTTGACTCGTGATTAATTTAAACTAGTTGATTGTCACTTAGACAATGAAAGACTATCAAAATCTAAATATTCAGTACAGACTTGTCCTCTTGCGATCACTGAGACATGAGTTGGTTGCAAGATTCTTTGGCATGGCCTTTTTCAACCTTGGATAACTGTCAATCAAGCCTGTTTTGCTTGTTTTTTCAAGGGTGCTCGATTCAATGCGAAACTTTTTGTTACATGTTGACGAAAAACAGTACCTTGCAGAAAAGACTGATAAAATGAAGCATTTTCGTGTATGCTTTTGTTTTGATTTTTATAAAAATATTAAAATCCCCATTAATATCTTTCAAAAATGTTTACGTGATATATTGACAGTCAGTTGTAATATATTCATAATGATTGAACTAAAGTGACTATTGTATATTGTTGGGCATTCAAAATATAGTAACAACAACCTTTAACTAGAATTGTTTACCCTGTTCCATCCCAATTGAACATTGGGTGAAGGGGCATGAGTTCGATGCGAGGTCACTGGTGTTTATTTATCAGCTCAGTGTAACAGATCAATTCTGTCTAGGTACCTGTCACCAACATGAAAGTAATTGGCGATGTGGCTTCTAAACAAATACAAATGTGTTGTTTTCAGTGCTTTATTATAGAATACAAAGTCTAAATTACAGACAATTGGAAAATTTGGTCTATTTTTTGTCTGCTTTTTTTTTAAAAATAGATTATGCCTTTTTGATAACAAATGCGCACATGCCTATTCTGTTAAAATAAATATTGTAATAAATGTTATACAGGAATGATAAAGACCCTGATTTTGGGTGTGTAAGCACGAATTAGCATATTCAGTCCCTGTGTAGCTGGGATCATTATGTATGAATGGTGTGTGTATGTGTCATTCATGATCATCGCGTTACATGTCTGGAACCTTTGTCTGAGACACTGATAAATGATTCATTAATATGATCTTTTTCTCACCTTAGTCGGTGTGAAATAATTGGTTTTATAATGTGATTCTTTTATCTCAGTGTCAGTCGTAAATGTTGATTTATTTTCCATGATTTACCTTAATCTTAAAGGGATTTACAGACATCAAGGACAGGGGTAATCCCCCATGTCTGTTTTGCATACGCTTTAGATTTCTACTTCGTTTTTCATTGAAAATTATTTTTTTCAATAATTGTTCCATATTTTAATCTGGGAAATAAGAAGAGCCTTAAAAATGATATTGCGTGAATTGCATTATTTTATATAGAGTGCATTGTTGATATTTCTTGCTTTTCTGTTAAAAAAAACATTTGGAGAGCCAGGTGGTGGTGTTTTGTGTAAAGTGTTGGGTACATGCACTCTAGGGTTTTTTTGAGTGTTAGTATTAGATGATAATTGAAAACACAAAACAATCAATAGCAACCATTATCCATTTACATCATAATGCAATTTTTAACAATTCACCTTGAGATGTTTAGTCAATTTTGAAGAAGAAAAAATCAGTTCACTACGTTTGCTACTGACAGAGAGCATAAAAGTGTTACTGTGTTTGTGGGGCATGAGTGAGGTCTGTCCAACCATAATCATGGATTTTACCAAAAAGTATGCAGACAAACCTTGTGCCTAATTTACTCAGTACAGTTGAATGATTTCTCTAAATTTCTTAAGTATCTATTTTCTGACTCAATACCAGTGAGTGCACAATGCTATGCGAGTTAGTTGCTATTTGGTTCATGTAAAGAATTCCTTA